AAAAAAAAAAAAACCTTTTAAAGTAAGGCAGATAATGATCAGTCTGGTTCAGTTTTAGTATACTCCTACCTTGAGACAGGAGAATAGATAAAATGACTTCTTAAATGTCTTCAGATCTCAAGAATGTATTACTCTTTAGTCCCCTCTGATATATAAAAAAAACAAAACAAAAAACCAGTATCTCTTGCAACCCTCTAAATTCTTCGTGATAAATGGAGACTTTCAATTTCCCCTTTCCACCAAATATGGCAGGATATTTCAAACATCCAACCTTGATGAATCCCAAAGAAGTCACTTTATTTTTTTAATTTTTTAATTTTTATTTTATTTTTTAAAATTTTAAAATTTTTTTATTAAAAAAATTTTTTTTATGTTGCCTGGTAAAAGGAGTCACTTTAAATCTTATGCGTTCAGTGACATATTTCCTGAAAGCTCAGAGGTTCTCAATGTTTTCTAGATCGACTTGGTCCCCTGTGGAGTTCAGACATTGAATAATGAGTTAGAAGCAAGTACAGGGGGAAATATAGAAGCCCGGAAGCTACGGTCAGACAGTAAAGTGTGGTGCTGGGGTCTCAGGCTGTCTTCCCTTCTGGTACAGGGGCTGACTCCGGGGAAGCCAGAACTATGAAAGGCCATCACTCTGCTCTGAGAGCTGTTCTCTCTGCATCTCCCACGCCCACTCTAAAACCCTGACCAAAACCCTCAGCTTGCCCCTTTCCTTCACCTTGCACTTAAAGTCAAACCCTCTAACCTTCAGTGTATTTTTCATACCTATGCCTCTCTATGTGTCCCATTACCACCAGCCAGCACAATCCCTCTGTTCACCCCCTCCCTGACCCATCTCCTCTCTCACCTTTTGGCCTACCTCAACCGTGTTTACTTTTCTTTTTTTTTTAATGTTTATTTATTTTTGAGAGAGAGACAGAGACAGAGCGTGAGGGAGGGAGGGGCAGAGAGAGAGGGAGACACAGAATCCAAAGCAGGTTCCAAACTCTGAGCTGTCAGCACAGAGCTCGATGCGAGGCTCAAACCCACGAACCGTGCGATCATGACCTGAGCCAAAACAGGACTCTCGAACTGACTGAGCCACCCAGGCACCCCAACCATGTTTACTTTTCATTCATGCTAATCTGCTCTGAGCAGGCCACTACCTCCACCAGAAATCCTTCAGGGATCCCCCGCTTCGAATTTCTAACTTTCCAACCTTGATTTCTATTGTACCCCACACCAACTCCACATGCCAACCTTATCTCCCATTGTACTCACACCTACTTCACATTTCAGCCGCCTGGTCTATTTGCTATTCCCAGGATCCTTTGCACTTTCCTGGTGTACCTTTCCACAGGCCCCTCCCTCTATCTAATCTATCTCTGCCCACTGCAGTCCTGATTATTCCAGAAGTAAGTCAAGTGCTAATTGTCCAAATGTTTTCTTCTTTTCTGAGGCACATCTATATTGCCACTCTTGCATTGTTCACCACATGTTACCCTTACATTATCATTTATATATCATTATTTGTGTACTTATCTTTTCTGCCTACCAATATTTCTCTCTGTCTCTTTTTTTTGTTTGTTTGTTTATTGATTAGCTTTGAGAGAGAGAGTGATAGAGAGAGAGAAAGAGCAGGGGAGGGGCAGAGAGAGAGGGAGAGAGAGAATCCCAAACAGGCTCTACACTGTGAGCACAGAGCCCAGTGCCGGGCTCAAACTCAGGAACTATGAGATCATGACCTGAGCTTAAATCAAGAGTCAGATGCTCAACTGAGCCACCCAGGCGCCCCTGCCTACCAATATTTCTTAAGCACCTATGACATGTCAACAGTGCGCACTAGATGTTTTGCATGTGAGATCTCACTTAATCCTCAGAACAGCCTTGTGAGAGTAAGAATAATAAAGAGTATTATCATCCCCACTTTACAGATTGGGAACCTGCGGTTGCAAGAAGTTAATTAACTTGTTCAGAGTAGCATCCTTACTAAGTGGCAGAGTCCTCGCTCACTCACTCAGTGAATTTTGTTACAGTCCAGGTATGCCAGATTCCTAAGCCCTCTGGGCTTTTCAGTATAGACTGGGAAGTCCTTTTGGGGGCAGTTAGCACTGCAGCCTCAGGACAAGGAAGATCTAGATCTGGTAAAGGTTTTCTCTCCTCTATCATTAGATTTAGACTCATTGTGCTATAGGAAACGCTCCTTTGGCTCTCAGTCAGCACTTGGCCCAGGCTAGCACTTGGCCCAGGCTAAAGAAATGATTCATGAAAACAAATACCATACAGGATGCTTAGTTCCATGCTGGTGACCCTGATTATTATAAAATTGTGAAAGGAAACACATGCCACGCCCTGGCCCAGGTTTAGCAATCTAGAACTCCCTGTTCTCTGCCACCTCAGTCTAGGCCTCATGCTAAACCTCTCTGTTTCCTGATTAGATCCAGAGGGATACCTCAGATTTCAGAAACAAGGCTGGAACAGCATTGCTGTCATTAGAGTTGGCCCTGGGCTGCTAAGAGTCCCTGCCAGTAATGCCCAACATGGACTCACAAGAAATTCATATGAAGGTTAATAATAGAGAAGGGTTTAGTCTACCCTGAGTTGATTTTTCACCATTTAGGGTTGGAAGCCCCTAAACTTGTTGAGTCAGTTCCTACTGCCAAATGAAGAACATTATAACAATGGGTTCATTCTCTTCCTTATTATTTTGGAGTCACGAGTGTCCAGCAGGCACTGTTTGCTCAAGGAGAGTCTAAACAGGAATTGCTGATGCCTGTGGCCAAAAAGCATGACTCCTAAGCCACTTTCACTCTGGCACAGGCTGTGGATCTAATGGTAAAGAAGCTGAACAGGAAACAGGGTTAGGTAACATGATTTATGTTTTTATTTGTACTTTCTCTTTCAATACTCAAAAGCAATCCTTTTTCAGACAGTTGGTATGGAAACATCCATTCTAAAATCCAAAAACTATGTGGCAAAGTGACAGGCAGGGACTGGGACTTTGATATCACTGAGTTGCACAGCCTTCCACTCCCCTAAGCTCACGTGCTGTGGCAAGACCTTTTGCTGAGGCAAATGTCAGCCACTTAAAAAGGACTGAAGGCAAAATTTGTACCCAAGCTACAGTTCTCAAGTGTCAATATTCTTCCCTCCCTCCAAACCAAGATGATACAGCATGTTTAATATCTCAAATGTCTCACATTTTCCAGAGTTGACAAGATCTCACCATGAAGTAGTAGTTGGTACTGTGACACTCTTACCTTCCACTCAGAAGGCTCCCATGTTGGATTCTTAGGCAAGTGGGCTTGCTTGAACTAGTTATCTCAGTTGGTTAGACCACAGGCCACCAAGGCCAGTAAGCCATAGTCACTGACAAAATCATCCTGTTCCCAACCATCTTTAAAATAGGTCATGGGGGGCGCCTGAGTGGCTCAGTCAGGCAAGCAACCGACTTCGGCTCAGGTCATGATCTCATGGTTGGTGGGTTCAAGCCCCACGTCAGGCTCTGTGCTGACAGCTAACTCAGAGCCTGGAGCTTGCTTTGGATTCTGTGTCTCCCTCTCTCTCTGATCCTCCCCTGCTCATGCTGTCTCTCTCTCTCAAAAATAAACAAAACATTACAAAAAATAATAAAATGAAATATGTCATGAAGTGGCTGAGTGGCAATGCAGATGGCCCAGGGCAGGTCATCACTGGGACTGACAAAAGTACCAGAACTGCCATTAACTGGAGTAACTTGTATTATGTTTGTGAATGAAGTAAGAAATTCTCTCTCTTCCCCCCCTCACTTCCTCATGATCTGTTATGTTGTAGACAGTCTAATGGATAGAACACCTTCAAGATAATATATGCCTATATGGGGGGAGGGGGTTGTTGTTACTAATCAATCAACACTGACAACTTACAAAAAGTATTTCAACTTCTCAAAACTCTAGCCAGGCATGACACTGGAGATTCCTTTTACAGGGCTAGACTATTGGTACATTATGATTCTTTCACATTTCACAGAAATAACAGAACAACTTTTATTTTGCCTTCCCCAATGCAGTTCTTGTATTTTGCTGTTGTCTCTGCCATATGGTTAAAAAGGGTTACTCGGAGAACAACCAAATACTGTTATTTCAACACTACAGAAACTAGTGAATTTTGTTACTCCTTAATACCTTTGTGTATCCCTCCAAAAAGAATGCTCAAAGACACTTTTGATTGGAAGACATTCACTACTTATGGTCTGAATTGTGTTGGCAACATTTGAGGAACACCTTGAAAAAAAACTTATGACACACGTCAGCAGAAGTCCAGAGAAGGAAAGTTAGAGATTAGTGGAAAGAGAAATATTACCGGACTCAAAGTCTGGTCAGAGGTGGGTCTTGTGCTGTCAGGTACACTAAATAAGGCTCACTGGGGGAGGCAAAGCATTTAGCAACCTGCGAGGTAACTGGAGGTTTAACACGGAGGGGCGAGAGAGGCAATGTATTCCTTCAGCCCCCCTCACACATCTCCGAGGTTCACTCTCCTTTTTTGAAGCCACGATAAAACCACAAGGATTCCTACTTTGCTCCCCTACTTTCCCCTGGCCTTCCTAACTCCTCTCTTACCCCGCTTCTTCCCTCTCACTTTCTAATTTGCCCCTCTGTACTAATCTTTTGTTTTCAACTACTTTTAAGGTAATTTCATTGCAGCTGGAAAACAACCCACATCTTCTTCTTCCCTCATTCCCGAGCCGAGGGACCAAGGTCTCTCCTGGGCTCCTTGGAGCTGGGACCTTCCCCCCTGAGCTCATAAGCCCAAGCTGTGAGGATGGTCTATTTCCTAAGTCCTCCAAGTAGGCTGGGCTCTCCATGACGCCAGTCGGCTCCTCTTCCCTCGCCCCCCCTCTCCGCCCCACGTCTCATCCCCAAAGAAGCCTGAACTCCGTGGCCTCTGAAACTGTCTGTGCCTGGGTCTCCTCAAGGTCTCCGCCAGAATCCAAAATGTTCCTGACCAAAGTGGGGTCGGATCGGGGAAGACAGTACCTCTTTGCAGGCGTGAAGCTCCGGTCCCGCTGCCTGGGTCACCTGTAAGGCGGTCCCAGCCCAGAGCAGCAGCCGCAGAAGCCGGAGTGTGCGCCGCTCAGTTCTTCCCCTGCGTCCGGCGGAGGGATGGAGGCTGCGCCCAGGCTCAGCCATAGCGTTGTCCTGAGCTAGCGGCAGCAGCGGCTCAGGTGCTGCGGCTGCTGCTGCTGCTGGCAGAAGGCGGAAAAAAAGGGGAGGGAGGTTCACAGGGGGAGGATGCAAGGGGCTGGGCTGGCTTCAGTCACCTCCCTGCGGCTACGCCAAGGCCGCCCATCCTTCCTCCTGCCTCCTTCCTCTTCTCCTCCTACCCACGTCGCCTTGGCAACCGCCTCCTCGTTCCCTCCGCGCGAGTGGGTCAGGGACCACGAGCTCCTCTGCCGCTCACCTGCCGGTCGCCATGGCAGCCGCCGCCGCTGGCGCGCGCCGCGTGGGAGTGCGCGCGCCCGGGGACTGCAACCGGCCCAACAGGCGGGCACAGGGGGCGTGTAAAGAACGCAGTAGAAACATCCTCTAAGCCACTGCCACCAAACTCACCTTTTCCACTGCCCTGTTGGGTCATAGGCCTTTTATGAGCATCTCTAATTTTGCAGACATGGCGTTCGACAAATACTTATTTAGCACCTCCTGTGTGGAACGATAGAAGGCAGATTGAGACGCCATCTTACCTCCAGAAGTTACAGCTTGGAAGCGTGGCCCCGGTAGGTGTTGCTGCAACAGCCTCTTCTGGAGATCTTAACTTCCGTCCCACCAGATCCTTCCGTGCCTTTACAACCGGCTCTGTGCGAAGCCTTGAGACTGGCACAGTTAAACCGGTTTAGGCAAGGAGTGTTTGTGTTAGCCTGCAATTTTCTAAGCACGACCTTTGGGCTCTTCTGTCTCTTGACATCCTCAATTCTCTCATTGCTTTGAAAATTCCTTCTGTTAGATAACGAGGTAGAAGGAAATTCCTGGGTCATCTTTTAGGACTTCTTTCCCCAAATGAAGTCTTTTGCAGAAGTCCTGCACGCCAGGAGGCCGGCGTTTTTTCAACTAAGCCTCCCGAGTGCAAGTGCAGGGCCTCCCTGGTACACTCAGTGGCGCTTTCCCTCTGCGTTCCCAGGAGCTCCTTCCCAAGGGGTCCTCCGCGCTGCACCGCCAGGTGGCGCCCTCCTCGAAGGGAACTCACCTCAGTCACAGACGATGGGGTAGTTGCCTGGCAACCGAAACTGGGCGTTCCAAACAATTGGGACCCGGGATCCTCCGCGTGCGTCGTGTGCGGCTGCGCGGGCCCCCCACCCCTCACACCGGCGCTTTTTACCATGCCTTTCACCCGAGACCCTTTCCAGCACCCTACCTTCAATAACGATGATTCCTACTTGGGAAAACCCCGGGCTTCCAAGGTACTGTGGTTTTTTGCGCAGATTCCCACCAGGGTCGATGGCACTCTTCTTTCTGTTCGCCTAATGGGCAGAGATGGTAACTTAAAGGACTCTGGTGAGGACACTGAGTCAGGTACCGGACAAGTTTGCTTTCTGCCTGCCTTCTTGGCCCCATATTCAGGTTGGCTAACGTTTCAGAGGTGCTTTTGAGGAGAGCGAAGTAGAGCTGTAGCCCAGAGGAACAAGGGGCTCTCGTTGCCCAAAGCAATGCTGTGTAATGTGGCTTAAACAGGCTCAGGTCCCGCCAAACCACCCTTTGCCCTGTTTGGAAAACTGTTCTTTGAAGAGATGTGAGGTATGGAATGGGAGAGAGTCCCCTGGAAGCGGCCAGGTCATGCTTTATACGTCTTGCTTTCGCACCATCTCTGTCTTTTGGTTAATGCTGGAGTGCGTGTGTGTGTGTGTGTGTGTGTGTGTGTGAGTGATTTGGTAATTTAGATGATCTTTTTTTTTTTCTGGTAGAGGTATTTGGGATGCTTGAAGTGGTGCGAAATACAGTGGCAATTGTGGCTTAATAACAGGATCAAAGAGCTTCCTTTTGTTTATTCAACATTTATCATTTACCATATGCCAGCAGTCTGCTCAACACTGAGGATATATAGATGAATTACATATAGCTCCTGCTCTAGAGGAACTCTAGTAGGAAAGCTGACAACTGCAGCCGCAAGAATGCCTGCACAATAGGCGTTATGACAGAGTTATGCATTGTGTGTCAGAACTGGGAGCTTAAAGGAAAGCTTCCCAGAGCAGGTGAGTTTTCACATCCAAATACGGGTGAGCTGGGCCAGGTGAGGGAGGAGGTAGAATGTGAGTTAGGAAGAAGGAAACAAGAACCAGGCATTCAAGGCAGAGGAGGCAGCGGGTACCCATACATGGAAAGGAGAGAAAGAGTGGCCTGTTTGGGACCAGAGTCCAGAATGGCTGGAGCGTCATTGTGAGCTGGAGGAGGGGAGAGAGCAGGAGCCGGAGTGACCTTGTTGGGCTGGATGTGCTGTGTACACCATGCTAGTGAGCTAGGATTCCATCCTGGAGGCGCCAGGGCATCATGTCAGGATTTTAAGCACTGGAGTGACACAATCAATGGGTGTTTAGAAAGCACAGTGGCAGTGGACTGGGTAGAATGGGAGTTGGGACAAGGGGAATCAGCAAGGAAGCAGGAGCCTTGGGAGACAGCAATCTCCAGGAGGAATAACGGATCTAAAGCAGGGGATGACAGTGAGGTGCGGATGTGAAAAAGATGCAAAGGGCAGGTCTGATGAGACTTTGTGACTGGATATGGATGAGCCCAAGAGAAGGGACAAGTCGAGGATAGCTCCTAGGTTTCCGAGGACTTAATTGATACCATTTACTGAATGAGGGATCCAGAGGAAGCAGGTTTGGGGAAAAAGATGTTCAGATCAGTTATGTAGATGTTGTTTTTGTGGTAGGACTCTTAAGTGAGGATGAATAGCAGGCAACATGGTTGAGAGTTGTAGGTTGAAGATGTATATCAGGAAGTCAGAATAGCCATGTGTTGGTTGAAGCCACAAGAAGGAATGAGCTCCTCCAGTGAATGTAAGAATATGAAACACAAATGAAAACCTTGGAGAATGCACTAAGGGGCAGAGAAAGAGAAAGTAGTGCTGACAAGGGAGCTGAGCAGCAATAGCTAAAGGCAAGAGGAAAACCAGGAGGAGCTGGACCCACAGAGCATGGAGAGAACATTTGAGGGATTCTGAAGCGTGGTGCCAGAAACTGCAGCGGTTAAGTAGGATCAGGTCTGGAAAGGATCCACCTAACCTAGCTAAAGCTAAAGATCGTTAGCAAGAGCAATTTCAGTGCTTGCTTGAGGCCAGACTGCAGTGGCTAAAGAGGGGGTGGAAATGGGGAGGAAGTGGAGATAGTAAATGTTGACTCGTGAAGTCTATCTAGTTCTGCAGGGAAGGTGATAGAGTGTAGAGAGATAGTGATAATAGAATGAGAGAGAAGGTGAGTATAGGGGATGCCAGGATGGTTCAGGTCTGTCTGAAGCACAAGGAAAGGCTAGGTTTAGGGGGAAAAAGGTTATTCCTTTTTATTATTATTTTTGAAGTATAGTTGACATACAGTGTTGTATTCATTTCAGGTGTGCAACATAGCAATTTGACAATTCTATACATTACTCAGTGCTCACCACAGTAAGTGTGGTCAACACCTGTCACCGTACAACATTATTACAATATTATTGGCTATATTCCCTATACTGTACTTTTCATGCCTGTGACATTTTTGTTTTATAACTGGAAGTTCATATCTCCTAATTTCTTTTTTTTATAAAAATTTTTTAATAGTTTTTATTTATTTCTGAGACAGAGAGACAGCATGAGCGGGGGAGGGGCAGAGAGAGGGGGAGACACAGAATCTGAAACAGTCTCCGGGTGCTGAGCTGTCTGCACAGAACCCAATGCGAGGCTCGAACCCATGAACCACGAGATCATGACTTGAGCTGAAGTCGGACAACTGAGTCATTTAAACAACTGAGCCATTCAGGCGCCCCTGTTTCTCTTAATTTCTTCGCTTATTTCACTCATCTCTCTACCTACCTTCCTTTTGGCAACTTTCAGTTTGTTCGCTGCATTTATGGTGCTGTTTCTGCTTTTGTTTTGTTTTATTTTTCAGGCTCTGCAGGAAAGTGAAATAATATGGTATTTGTCTCTCTTTGACTTCTTTCACTTAGCAGATACCCTGGCTCCATCCATGTTGTTGAAAATAGCAAGATTTCTCTTTCTGATGACTGAGTAATACTCCATGTGGATAGATAGATAGATAGATAGATAGATAGATAGATAGATGATAGATAGATAGATGAATGGATAAAGAATAAAGATATAGGGGCTCCTGAGTGGCTCAGTCGGTTAGGTGTCTGAGTCTGGATTTTGGCTTAGGTCGTGATATTGCAGTTGGCAGGATTGAGTCCCACGCTGGGCTCTGTGCTGACAGCATGGAGCCTGCTTGGCATTCTCTCTCTGCCTTTCCCTCCTCTTTCACTCTCTCTCTCTCAAAATAAATAAACATTAAAAAAGAATAAAGATACATAGATATATAGATGTCACATTTTCTTCATTCATCTATCGATGGGCACTTGGATTGCTTCCATATCTTGGCTATTGTAAATAATGCTGCAGTGAACATAGTCCCTATATCTTTTTGAATTGGTGTTTTCATTTTCTTTGGGTAAGTACTCAGTAGTGGAATTATGGAGTTGAATGGTATTTCTATTTTTAATTTTTTCAGGAACCTGTTTTTCTCAGTGGTTGCAGCAACTTACATTCCCGTCAGTAGTGCACGAGGTTTCCCTTTTCTACACATCCATGACGACACTTGTTATTTCTTGTCTTTTTTTTTTTCTTCTGGTCTTTTTGATACTCACCATTCTGACTCACATGAGGTGATACTTCATAGTGGTTTTCATTTGCATTTTCCTGATGATTAGTGATGTTGAGCATCTTTACATATGACTGTTGGCCATCTGTATATCCCCTTCAGAAAAATGTCCATTCAGGTCCTCTGCCCATTTTTTAATCAGGTTTCTTTTTTTTTGGTGTTGAATTGTATAAATTCTTCATATATTGTGCATATTAATTATCAGATATATTATTTGCAAATATCTCCTTCCATTTAGTAAATCGTCTTTTCATTTTGTTGATGGCTTTTCTTTGTGAAAAAGCTTTTTATTTTGGTGTACTCCCAATAGTTTATTTTTGTTTTTGTTTCCCTTCCCTGAGGAGATATAAATATTTTGCTAAGGCTAATGTCCAAGAGATTATTGCTTATGTTTTCTCTTAGGAACTTTATGGTTTCAGGTCTCACATTTAAGTCTTTAATCCATTTTCATTTTGTTTCTGTGTATGATATAAGGGGCCCAGTTTGTTCCACATGTAGCTGTCCAGTTTTTTTTTCCCATCACCATTTATCAAAGAAACTGTCTTTTCTCCATTATATATTCTTGCCTCCTTTGTCATAGATTAATTGACCACAAAAGCATGAGTTTATTTTGGGGCTCTCTATCCTAGTCCATTGATCTATGTGTCTGTTTTTGTGCCAGTACTACATTGGTTGTTTTTTTTTTTTTTTAAGTTTATTTATTTGTTTGAATAATCTCTACACCCAGTGTGGGGCTTGAACTCATGACCCTGAAATCAAGAATTTCATGCTCTTCCAACCAAGCCAGCCAGGCACCTCAAGTACTGTATTGTTTTGATCACTATAGTTTTGTAGCATGTCTTGAAATCTGGGACTGTGGTACCTACAGCTTTGTTCTTCTTTCTCAAAATTGCTTTGGCTATTCGAGGTCTTTGTGGTTCCATAAGATTTTAGAATTATTTGTTGTAGTTTTGTGAAAAATGCTATTGGTATTTTGATGGGAATTGCACTGAATCTTTAGATTGCTTTGGGTAGTATGGACATTTTAACAATATTAAGTCTTCCAATCCATGAAGATGGTATATCTTTCCATTTGTGTTGTTTTCAATTTCTTTCATCAATGTCTTATAATTTTCAGACAAGAGGTCTTTCACTGCCTTGGTTAAATTTATTCCTAGATATTTCATTACTTTTGGTGCAGTTGTAAATGGGATTGTTTTCTTAATTTGTCTTTCTGCCACTTTGTTATTGGTGTATAGAAATAATGGATTTTTGTATATCAATTTTGTGTTCTGCAACTTTACTGAATTCATTTATTAGTTCCAATTGTTTTTTGGTAGAATCTTCAGGGTTTTCTATACATAGTATCATGTCATGTGCAAATAGTGAGTTTTACTTCTTCCTTACAATTTGGATGCTTTTTATCCCCTTTTCTTATACGATTGCTGTGACTAAATCTTCTAATACATGTTGAATAAAAGTGGTGAGCGTGGACATACTTATTTTGTTCCTGACCTTAGAGGAAAATCTTTCAATTATTCACCATTGAAATTGATGTTACCTGTGGGTTTTCATATATACCTTTATAATGTGGAGACACATTCCCTCTATACCTACTTTGTTGAGGTTTTTTTGGTCATGAACAGATGTTGTATTTTGTCAAATGATTTTTCTACATTAAGATAATCATATGGATTTTATCCTTCCTCTTGTTAATGTGATGTAACATATTGATTGATTTGTGAATACTTAGCCACCCTTGCATTGCTGGAATAAATCCCACTTGGTCATGGAGAATGATCCTTTAAATGCATTATTGAATTTGGTTTGCTAATATTTTGTTGAAGATTTTTGCATCTATGTTCATCAGGGATATTGGCTTGTAGTTTTTGTTTTGTTTTGTTTTCATTTGTAGTGTCTTTGTCTGATTTTAGTATCAGGGTCGTGCTGGCCTTGTAGAATGAATTTGGAAGTTTTCCTTCCTCTTCTAGTTTTTGGAATATCTTGAGAAGAATGGGCACTAACTCTTCTTTATTTTCTTAAAATCTTTATTTTTAAAAAAATTTTTAATGTTTATTTATTTTTGAGACAGAGAGAGAGCATGAGCTGGGGAGGGGCAGAGAGAGAGGGAGACTCAGAATCCAAATCAGGCTCCAGGCTCTGAGCTGTCAGCACAAAGTCTGATGTGGGGCACAAACTCACAAGCCATAAGATCATGACCTGAGCTGAAGTCGGACGCTTAGTAATTGTCATCCAGGCACCCCTGGGTATTTGTGTTTCTTTCAGGTTTTTTTTTCCTTCTAATTGATTTCTAGTTTCACACCATTGTGGTCGGGAAAGTTGCTTGTTGTGATTTCAGTCTTCTTAAATTTATTGAGACTTGTTTTGTGGCCTAACATGTGACCCATCTTGGAAAATGCTCTGTGTGCTCTTGAAAAGAATTTTTAATTCTGGTGCTTTGAATGGAATGTCCTGTATATATCTATTGGGTCCATCTGATCTAATGTATCATTCAAAGCCATCATTCCTTGTTGGTTTTCTTTCTGGATAATCTATCTGTTGATATAAGTGGAGTAAAGTCCCCTAGTATTATTGTATTACTATCAATTTCTTTCCTTATGTCTGTTAATATTTGCTTTATGTGTTTAGGTGCTCCTGTGTTTCGTACATAGATAATTGCAATTGTTATATCCTCTTGTTGGATTGATCTTCTATCGCTATGTAATGCCCTTATTTGACTCTTGATACGGTGTTTGTTTCAAAGTTTATTTTGTCTGGGGGAGGAGCCAAAATGGCAGAACAGCATGGAAGTCTTTTTTCCATCTTGCATACATGAAATACAGCCAGGTCAACCCTAAACCTAAACCATCCTGCACACCTAAAGTTTATTTTGTCTAATATAAGTATTGCTACCTGGCTTTTTCCCCCTTCCATTTGAATGGAATATGTTTTTCCATTCATAAGAGTTATCCTTGGGTAAAAGGAACATCTCTTCCTTTGAGATGGAAGGACATTGGATGTGAGGATGGTATTCCTGCTTGATAGTCTTGACTTTCTCAATGAAAGACAGTCTCATTCTTCTACTGAATGATGACATAAAAAGGCTTATGTAGCTTTTGAGGAATGGAAGGAAATCTGCCTATGCTTGCATCATTTATTTGTAGTTTTCTTATTTCATTTGTCATCTTTTTTGGTGATAGCACACTGCCTGGTACATACTATTCAATTAATGTCTAGCTGACCTGAGTCACACAACACTTTGCCATATATAGAGGGGAGGAGAGTTCCAACACTGGATAAGTTGAATTTGATTTCTACTAGGTTGGAGTTGTACTCGGTAGAATTCAGTCATCATTCAAACAGTATTTCATTTTTGAATGCCATGTGTTAGGCTGCTGTTCTAGACACTAGGGATACAATATAGCTTTACATGTAATGAAGAAATCAGTTATGTGCTTTTCACATTCATGCTTATGGGGTTGTATTTAGAGGACTGACTAGCCAGTGTATTTTTTTTAAACATTTCTGCAGTCACAATAACCCTACCCTGCTTACTGATATTTTTCTCTTCCTGCTTAGTCACTGCATTCTCCTGATTCTCCTTTCTCCGATTGCCTCTCTTTCCTCCCCCTCCCCCATTATAATACTGTGCAATCATGAGCCCTTTTGGCCACACTCCTTTTGCAGGCTTCAGCTACTACTTCATGTGGATGACCCCCAGACCCCTACGACTTGTTCTGAGCTCTCCTCCGACTTGCACACTTCCCATTTTTCTACCTGTTGACTGCATTCAGATGTCTTGCCTTTTCTTCAAACTCAGGACATCTAAACCTGAGCTCATCATCTTGTCTCCTCTGCACTTTTTACCCTCTGTCCCACTTCACCCCTTTCCCTGTATTCCTGGCCTACTTCTGCCAGTTGTAAGATTGAAAACTTAGGAGCATCAAAGCCTGCAAATCTTGCCTCATATTTGTTCTTCCCTTTGAAGATATCCCTCTGAGGTTCAGTTAACATAGGATGGAATAAGGAGATGGATATCACTGAAGCCATCACATCAGCAAGGCCTCCTGTAACCAGGTCCTGTGTGTGGTTTCTCTTTTGCAGAAACTGCCATATAAGAACCCAACTCACCTTGCTCAGCAACAGGAACCCTGGAGTCGGCTCAACTCAACTCCCACAATCACCTCCGCGAGGCGGGATATTTATTTTTTTGATCCTGAGGTATCTAATATTGAAATGCTATTTCTCTTTACATCCGCTTAAGACTCATGACTATCATTTCTGGAAAGCTAGTCTGTCCTTAACTGCATCAGCATCTTTATTTTGTCCCCAAACCAAGATCCTCCCAAATCCAAAACCAAATAGCAATTTATCTGGCTTCTGGGAAGGTGGAAGGCTTGGGTTTTGCTCCAGTTGATTATCTGGAGCAAGCTGTGTTCTCACCAGACTTCTCTTCCGATTGAACCATAAATGAAGTAAGGCCCATTAAGCCCACCTGAAGGACAGTATAATTATTTCCATATCTTTAGTAAGAACTCACCCTTCCTTAGGCCTAACCATGACACAATTCTATATTGAAAGAGTTAAGATGTCTTTGGTGTGTAAGGAGTTGGTGGATCTCAGGCATAAAATGGGTTCACTCTGCTTTTGCAGAAAAGTAGAGCCCAGCAGAACCTGACTAGAGTTTGGGTAGAGGTGGCAAGTTAACCTGGGGGGGTGGGGGTGGGGTTGACTTCCTCTGTAGATACCAAAGGATGACCTGGACTTCCGCTTAGCAGCCTTGTACAACCACCACACAGGGACATTCAAGAACAAAAATGAGATACTCTTACATCAGGAGACCACCCAGGATACCCATGGGTAAGTGGTGGAGGTAGAGCCTCTCCATCTTAAGGACAATGCCATCCAGTCAAGTATGGTAAAGTGTTAACGTGAGAAAAAACAAAGATAACCAAGAGGTACTCATTTGTATACAGATTTCTATATTTTTCTTACATCTGTATATATTTTATGATCTAAAATGAGTAGCAATCCTCCAGGATTGTGCTTATCTGTATACACAAACAAAAGCTTCAGTTAATTCAACTGAAAAAGATAAAAACGACCTTTGGCTGCATTATTTCTGAGACTGCATGCAACTATCTTCCCCTCCTCACCTTTCTCCTGATTGATTTCACTCTCCCCTGTTCTTCCCCATACCATCTTCTAGAATCATCAAGACCCAATTCCCTGGAGAACCTTTACCCCCTCCTCTGCCACCTTCCATCACTTCCCAGGCTAACATCAGACACTGGATCAACCCTAAGAAGGAGTCTATCCACAGCATCCAGGGATCCATAGGTAAGGGTTAGAAGACTATGGGGGCAGATGGGTGGTACAAGAGTTTTTTTAAATGGACCTAGGAATCAGGGAGTTGAGTTGATTGGCCACTAGGGAACTTCAGGGATAACTTAGGATCTTGGAATAGCAGTGACTAAGTTGGCATATATCAGGCTAAACCCAGGGGACATGCTGCCTATAAGCAAGAAAATGAATTCAACTTTTCAGAGCCTTTAACTCAGTCTTAGCTCTAGGGGACAAAAATTCTAGCAAATGGTAGAAACCTAGGAGTGAAAGACCGATAGCTGTCTCCCATCAGTCCTCTCTATGTGCCAGTTTCCCCAGCTGTCACAATAACCTTCTCCACAGTACCCAGAAATGTATGGATTACAGGTTCCCAGAAAAGGCAAAAGATTGAAGTTCACAGCCTACTCCTTCTTCTCTTTTCTCCACAGTGTCCCCTCACACTGCAGCCACCAATGGAGGCTACTCCCGAAAGAAGGATGGTGGCTTTTTCTCTACCTAGTGTTGACAGGCCCCTGGACTAATTAATCATAGTGGAACATCCTGTCGCCCACCTCCATTAAATAGATTTGTGCCGGATGAAGCTTGAAGTGTGTTACCCATGGACTAAAAGTTGACACTTGTCTACTCTTAAAATATGGAAGTTTCCCAGTTTCTAGAAATTAGTCCTGCTGGATATATTTGCAATTTGGAGTCATCTTGCTGAAAAGATAAGGATTTAGAAGTCATTCCAAACATAGATATATCCATTCATCATTTCTTGCAAACTTTTATATGTCAGGCACTGAGCTAAGTGTTGGGGAAACAGGAATGGACATAGCGTATATTCTTAATGAGCTTATACCACCATATTCTGGCAGTTCTATGTGGCATTAATTGTTATGATGTCACACACAACATATTTCAGACCAAGTGGATTTTGTCATCTACTGGCCTCTACTTTGCCATGAGGACTCCATCTCTCTGGTCATGGCTCCTTGCCATTGTTCATTCTCTAACTCTGCTGTCTTCTTGCCTGGGAGCCAATTCCCTTTTCTTTGTCCATTTGTGCTATGAAATACAGCCAGTTCTTCTAAACATGGTTCAGTAACCTGGTGCTTGGGCTTGAGGGGACCTAAAAACTGATGCATTATGTGGTTTCTAAAATTACAAGTCACTCAGGGGAAACCTGCTGTTAAATTGGGCAAGAAATGGAAGACCTTTTAGAATACTGTAAATTCCCATTTCTAAGTTTGGACAGCATATGCATTATTTTCTTTTTAATTTTTTAATGTATGTTTATTTTTTAAGAGACACACAGCAGGAGTAGGGGAGGGGCAGAGAGAGAGGTAGGCACAGAATCTGTAGCAGGCTCCAGGCTCCCAGCTGTCAGCACAGAGTCCAACCTGGGCTGGAACCCACAAACCATGAGAGCATGGCCTGAGCTGAAGTCAGACACTTAATCGACTGAGGCACCTAGGCGCCCCCAGCATATGCATTATCGAATAATTCAGATATGAAAGAACTTCCTGTTATTCAGGTACACATGGTCCTTAAATTCCACCAAACTATCACAGCCCCTCTTCCACAGAGACACTCCAACCTATTCAGATAGTATCTGCTGCCAAGTGGCAATATGAAGTTTCAATTCTCATTATTTATAATGGCCGAAAGTGGCAGAGGGGTGATCCCCCAGATAATCATCTCATGCAGGTTATTTGATACTGAATATTTAAAAATTTATTACCGTGACCAATACCTCAAGCTTTTTAAAAATATAGACTTAAAATCTCCCTAATAATTCTAATTCAGTAAATCTGGGGCGGGTCCTTGGAATCTGAGTGTTTATAAGTCTCCAAGTTTTCTTATGGACACACACACACGCACATAACACCTATAGCCTTTAGTGACAGACGCTGTATAGTGTGCCTCTAGACCAGGGGGCACCAGTGTTGGTACCATACAAGGGTTCATCACAAGTCGGGCCTCAAAGAAAAAAGGAAGGGGACTAAAAAACAAACACTGCAGCAGCAAACAAGGCTTCGTGCGCTTCCAGCTCCGAAGGGTGGGCCGACATCTCCTTCACCTGCACCTTCCGGAACCTCGTCAGCGCCCCTGCCGCCGCCGACTGTAATCGTTTAGCCCCAGTGCCACTGGCGGCCGTGCCCCAGGACCGGGCTCAGATCAGAATCGCCTCGATAATCAGTGGCCCGGGACTAGCCCGGCCTCGTCTATCTGATCAATTCATCACTTCTGAGCGCCGGGCCCGGTAAGATCGGCTCCGGGACCGCGGCGTCGCCGCCGCCAAAGGGGCCTCGCTGCACAGCGCCCCCGAGGAGGGGGGCTTCGCAGGAGGGGAGCTTTTCATTTCAGGTCGGCCCCGCGGGGCATAGGGTCACAACCCGATCAAATAAGATCAAGGTGTAGGCGGGGGAGGGGCTCAGGGGCGGGCGCACACACTCGCCTTGCACGCCCCACGCGCACATTCACAGTCATGCGTCCACTCACACTCGGCCCACACGCGCCTTTCACGCAACACCAAGGAAACACAGAAACCACTCTCGCCCCAGGCCGCTCTCCCTCCAAGAGGAGCGGAAGTCCGCATCCTCTTTTAAAGCCCTCTGCCCCTCCCCCGCCTCGGAGGATTCTGGGAGGAACCACTGAGCAGGGGGCGTCGTGCGGCATCCGTTCTGCTGCCCTCGCCTGGCTCGGAGGGGAATCCAGGCCGGAGGGAAAGGCTGGACAAAATCCAGCAATACTAAATCGTGCTTGTCTTTTGATCTTGGTGCAGCTACATATTTATATCCATATCTCTAGGGTTTTTTTGGTCTTCGACCCAAGGATATAAGATGATTCAGTCTCAGATTTATAGGTGACTGGCTAATTTCCCATGGAGAAGGCAAATCCTGGTCATTAACCAGTATCAGGTTCCCCAGGATTTCCTACCCCTCAGGGAGAAGGAAAACATCATTCTACCAAAGGGAAGGGTGAGGTTACTTAAATCCGAAAGCTTGGTAGTCAGGATGATGGGGTGTAGGAAGGCATATCCCTGTCCTCATTCACAAGAGCCCTCCTTCTACCCGAAACTTGATGCTGTGGCAGCCATATTGCTGAACCTTCACTTTCATGTCTATTAAAGCATGTCTAACTTTCAAACTCCAGAATGAGTAGTGAAAAAGAAGTAGTGATTACATAATTAGAATTAGCATCTTTCCTATCAGGGAACACAATTTTAATCTGTTACCATCTCTTTTTTCAATGAGAAAGTTTATGTGTGAGAGTAAGATAAATCAGAAAAATTCTGTGAATTTATAACTGTGCCAGTCCCACCGTGCACTTATAAACAAATAGGGGGAAAGTATCCATTTATGTGCCAGAATCCCATTGGCTCAAGGATTGCCTAGGTGCATCGCTGGTTAACCTGATAGCCTCATCTGAATGAAGGAGTTTATGGTAACGGAAAATAATACCTGTATTTTAACAGCAATGGTAGATAAAAGTATAGAAGAGCACTATCTTCCTTATTTAATATTCCTCAAAACATATATATATCATACTGATACATGAGCTGATGCATGTATCAGCTCCCCCAAAGGAGAAAATTATGTGCTCAAATTCAGAACTATATCATATATTTGGTGACCATCACAATAGGGTAACAGGAATGAAGGTATTCACTGATGTAAACTAAAAAAGCATACTACAGGCAGAACCCAGCAGAGTATTGAACAAAATTCAATGAATTCATGTGACAAATAAAATAGACAAAGATGGTAGGGAAAGGAATTTTATTTTCAAGGATTTGTGCAGACAATGGTGAATAAAAAATTGTATTTCAGCTATAAAAGGCTGACTTCATTCCACCCTGGCATTCAGGGTTTATGGTGATGCCAGTTTGAATCTGAGGCAATATTGCTATCCCCATTCACCTACCCCAAGACTTCCTTAGGGGAACAGCTTCCTATAATTTTCAGTCAAAATATATATGACCTATCAACCAAAGTAATGAATTAAATGGGTTTCCGCTTATCCACTTACATAAACGCAAGAAATGAAATAAGCTGTGCATTTGTTTCTTGTTGCAAATTACCTTCATCCTGTGAGCTTTTTGGTACATTCTCGTATGAAAACACTTCAAAATATAACAATATAGGTCAAGATGACCTACCCAGGAGGCTGTGAAAACTGGTTTGAACAACTACAGCTGTGAAATGACAGGAGTTTAAAGTGGAAGCAGCTCTACTCACCCAGCTTAGAGACATTAGCCCCGTTGGAAAACAAGTCATTAAAGCTACAAAATAACAAGTGCAAAACGTGCTGAACCTGTATTTCCAGGGAGTGGCATTCCTGCTGGCCACCAGGGCCAAATTCACACCTACAAGGTGTAACTCTTCCTTTCTGTTCCAATAGATTTCCTTTCCCTCGTGTGAAACATCCTCAGAAGGGACACTGGAAAACATACTAATCATTGAAATGTACCCTGTGGGCCAATTCCCGAAGAGATAAAAGCACAACTCTGAGAGGATGAGATGTGTAGTGTTTACTTGGTGACTTGCTACACCTCTAGAAACCCTCAAAGCACTAAACTACCTGTTTTGGAACCTAAACTTCCTAGCAGCTTTTCTTTGGGGATAAGACAAAAAGACAATTTCCTGCCACACAGGGGTCAACCACAGCTAACGTGTCCACAGTCAGGTTTTACTGTAATGGACGATTCAGTTGGTTCCTATGTCTATGCCTGCTTTTTACAGTAATGTAATTTTAGACCAACTCTTTTTCTTTTCTTTTTTAACAGAGAAGTTGTCCCTTCAAATGTTGAGTCATCTAAAATGATTTGCGCAAGAGTTACCATACTCCATGGAAAAGCCCATCAATCTCCCTTGCAAACATCGGTTTTCCTTTACTCTAGAAAACACCCTCATTTTTAATCATGGATTCTGTGAACTATCCAAATGTGCCTATGAATATCAGCAACTTCTCTCATTTGAATTTATCGTGTTTTTATAATACAAAGAATTTCCAAGGGAAAAGCTAAAAAGTACTGCAAGATGAGAAAAACTAAGAGTCGCCCAAGAAAAAACAAGTAACCAATTAAAAACTGCCATTATAATCCAGACTTAAACACAGAATAAGGCTGTGTCTTGGACAACATGACAAAATGTCCAACTAACATCACAATAAATCCTTATACTGGATGACTTTACTAGTGTATGAATTATATACTAGATTTCTTTTACCCTAACTGCAAATATATTAAAAATTGTTTCCTCAATACTTTCTCTTTCCCCTAGTGATGGCATTTAAAACTGAGTAACACTACTTAGCACTCAGTAATTTAGAATATATAAAAAGGCTTTAGAAAAATTGCAACAGTAGATTTAGTTTCCATATACCATTTGATGGCGTGAAATCTCCTTTGGGGCTACTGGTGAACAGAACATTTCTCCCTATCTAAGTTACTGCTTTCTGGTCTCATCCCAGACAGATAATTCTCAAATCTTACGTAGGCCCAGATTTTCTTGGCAAACTCTTGGGCTGCCAGCACCTAGCACAACTATATCATCTGTTCTCTTTTTCCAATGAGGACTAGGCCTCTCTTATATTCCCAGAGGAGTATTTGAAAGATAAATTTCCAAAGCCAAGAATTTTCTTGGCGTTGTAGAACTCCTCGTTCCCACCCACCCACCCACCCTGTCCCCAACAATTTGCCAAATGCAAATCAAACAGTGAAAAAGAAAAGTCAAGTCTTGAAAATTCTCTCTCCTTCCAAGAGGTGTGAACACAGCCTATGTCCTTCCCTAATGAGTCTCTGTTTGAAAAGCTCCTGATGAGGGACTGAAGAACAAAATAGGTGACAGGTTTTTGTGCAGGAGGTATATGTAATCTTATCACCGTGGGGTGTAATTTATCTGGACATTATATGCTCTCTGCTGAGAACTGATTCACACACAGATCAAAGGAAGTTGGCTTCCTCAAGTCCCCTGAAGCATAAATAATGTTTGTAACCATGAGGAGTTTTCCCCACATATGGCAGGAGCAGATGCTGTGGTGTCATCTTGGGGACTTTGATGATTTTAGCTGAGCTCTCTTACGCTGGGCCCAGGCCCCGGACAGGTTCTTCACCCTCATCCTCTTGGTTGGCAGCTGATGAGATGGGTGCTTTGGAATTCATTTTACAAACAGGACGTAAAAGGCCATTACAACACAGGCGATTGCCACGGCAGCGTGCAGCCTGGTTCCGATCACAGCGGCTGGCAGACCAAAGTAGAAAGAGAAAAGAAATCACACCTTGCCCTTCACGTAAGTCCTCACTTTCAAGATGATACTCTGAAATCTCTAGTTAAGAGACCTATCAGGGTTCTCAAGAACCCACCCAGGAATGCATTTAAATACTATCCTTAAGCTCTAGGTTCTAGGTGAATATACTGTTTGTTTATATTTTGCTCTATTTTGAAAAGAGATTTAGATAGGTAGGGTTTATCTATAATAAAAAAATGAAAAAGCCTCTGACTTAATGAAATCAAAACTTATAAGAGACTCCAATATATTCTTCCCAGAAATTCATAAAAACTTTTCATGGGGAAAATACTCCAATCTAAAATTCTTTAACTTACCTATTTTTACTCCACGGAGAATATTAAAATTACCTGATGCTAAAATAAACAATTACGTAAATGTGGAACCAAATACAATGCAGCCTATCCCCACCCCTACTTTGTAGCACCTTACTATCCAGCTACAATCTTACCTTTGTAAAACACACCCCAAACTCCCTTCTTCTCCGATAGCAGCCAGGTTTTGAGACGAGGTACTTTCTTGAAGTAAGCACAGGTGCAAACAAAAAGCAAACCAAACACCAGGATCCCATCCAACGAGTACACTGTTATAGAAAGAAAAAAACAAACAAACACCCAAACCTTTGGTGCTAATCTTGCTTGCGACAGGTGAACTCACTTCAGAACTCAAGAACAGTGTGATATAACATCAAGACAATAAACACAACTGAGAATGCCAACCCTTGATAAGAGGAAGCCCAAATCCTGGGACTAACAAAGTTCCTTTATCGTTCCTCAAACTGCTTGTAGACAAGCCCTGTACAGATTTCACTGCACCATCTCCTCCTCTTTCAAGAACTACAAGTCCTGAGAAGAGGGTATCAGTTTTATGCAGAATCAACCTCCCAGGAATGGCCAGTAGTGATAACAGGTTGAGAGAGGTGTAAGAATCCTTGGAGCCTGAGCTGAGGAAAGTACACATGTTCTTATGTGTAAAGTATTTATGATAAATCACTCCTGTGATAAAGGAGAGCTAGATGTTTACCCAAGTCTCTCCAATCTGCATTTGCTGGTGATGAATACATTAAAGCAAAAAGTAAAGCTTAATGGAAATAGCAAGAGTTAGAATTCATAAAATTACAGAGGTGCCTGGGTGGCTCAGTCCATTAAGCATCCGACTTCAGCTCAGGTCATGACCTCAAGGTTTGTTAATTCAAGCTCTGCATCAGGCTCTGTGCTCAAAGCTCAGAGCCTGGAGCCTGCTTTGGATTCTGTGTCTCCCTCTCTCTCTCTCAAAAATAAACATTAAAAAATTGTTTTAAAAAATAAATAAAACTACAATTATCCTATGCTTATATCACACCTCATGCATAGTATTCTACTTACAAACCAAATTTCTGTTAGGATAGCAAAAGATTCTTGTAAAAAAAAAAAGTATCTGAGGCTTCAACATAGTGGAACATTTGTGAAAAAAAGGCTTTCAACAATTAGTTCTATTTCTTACATATGTAAAATAAGCTATTTCTTGTTCATGTAAGCACAATGAGGCAACTAAAAAAAAATCAGATCACAAAAGGAGGGAGGGTAACTAAAAATTACTTAGTAATTATTATGCATCAGATGCTATTTCCTGGTTCAGATGACTTCTTCCTCCAGGTGATGTACCTTCTGGTAATGTAACTTCTGATACTGTGCTTAGTAACCTCAGACCTATGACTTACCCACGAAGCTCCAAAAGGATATTTTATACAATATCTGCCAGTTCAGGACCAGTCTATCTCTCTCCAGTAAAACTATCTCACAGCCAGGTGTCATATGATAAAATGTCCAGTAAATCAACACATACACTAAGTTCTTATGATGAATGACACCTTAATGTGTTACTCTTTTACAAATTCTTGCAGACAATGCCGAACTCACATGGAGGTGAAATTTGAGTCTCCACTGCCAGGCTTACAGAAAATGTACTTTTGAGAGATGCTTTCCTGTACCCTTCATATCATACCAAGAGGCCTTCTCTTCATTCCTGTAAAGTTGACTAAAGACCATAAAAGCCCTGCTTCCTGCCCGTCCCTGAAATTCCGGAAATCATCTCTATAAAGTGTATGAAGATGTCTGGAAAATTAGGTCGGATAAACAGGGTTGCAATTGCCACATCGTTTAGAAGAGGCACTGTCTAAATCCAACCCTTGTAACACTAGCCAGGGTCTCCGGGTGGGATCACCCAGGCAGGACTTTAGAATCAAACATAAGATAGCTTTCTGGCGAACTTTTTTTTTTTTTTTTAGTAGTATTTCCTTCCAAAAAATGTGAGGCTTGACATTCTCCGTGATTTCTTGATCCTCCCGACAAGCCTACGTAGGGGGCTGGGAGGAGGGTCCTCTCTTTTTCCTGGTGCTAAAGCAATAGTTCAACCGAGCCTGGCATGCCCAAGAGTCTTGCAAGGGCCAAATCGAACTTCTAGGAAGGAGAAAGAGAAAGTACGGAGTAGAGACCCGGGACGTGGGCACATAATGATATACATTTCTATACGGGCACAGGACGGGGGGACCCGCGGAAAGACTTGGGGGACGAGCGTTAGGGGCGCCGAGAGGCCAGGCAGGGCTAGGCTGAGAGGGGGCGGGGAGAATGGCCACGTCAGTCCGGGTCCCGCCCGCCACGTTTCCCCTCGTCCTTTACTCCCATTTTGCACTCTGGGCATTGGCTCTCACCGTTCGTCATGGCGGCTGGGCCCGGGCCTGGCTAGAGGGTCCGGGATCAGCTGAGGGTGGCAGCGGCGAAGACTGGGGAACCCAGCTCGGTGTTGACACTTCCCGATCGGGGCCGCGGCGACGGGTAGGACGCGTAGTACGCAGGCGCAAGGGCAGAGAGGCGAGCGCCGAACGCAATCAGGAGTGGCTAGCTGATTCCCAAGCTACGGGACTGGTGTGGGTCGTGGCGCTTGCTCGCGGTCGCAAGCCTAAGAAGAGCGCCGTCCGAGAGGCTTCCTAAGTGGCCATGGTAACCAGCTTTCTTCTGCGCGTCCTTGCAGCAGTGGTGCTGGGGGTGTAACCTGACCTTTCGCGTCAGTGTAGTTGGAAAGGTAAAGCTTGCAGCTTTGCACTTTATTTTGCGCTGTGGCAGCTGGTGTGTGTGTCGGTGTGTGTGTTTGTGTGTACGCAACAGCAGCCTTCCTGTGATGAAGAGGTCACGGTCCCGCGCTTCCAGTTAAGAGAACCCTGACAGCAGGGGTCATGAGGCGGCTCCTGCGGACTCCAGGACCGCTTTTGCTTTGTGGCCCCTTTCTTTCCTTTCCTTTTCTTTCTTTCGTTTCTTTCTTTCCTTTCTTCCTTCCTTTTTGCTATCAGATATAACAGAATTACCCTCCCCCCATTTTTATTGAGAAATAAGTGACCTAGTCACTTCTTTCTTACTCCTAATGGAAGTCAGAATAATTAGGTTCCGCCTGAACTTTCGGAATGAGGTAAGAAACATAACGGAAACAGGACATATATTTCAGATCTTAAAGCTCCACTCTGTCGGGAAATATTCAGATAATTGCCTGTTTGTTTCTGTGGATATTTCTTTAAACTTTCAGGAGAGCCTCGATGATCTCCTGCGTTTAGTTAAATGCTGGGGTCAAGTTGGCCACTTTAACCAGAATTTGGCAATATCTGGACGGCGCTTCTCACAAAACTTTCACAAGCTGAGGAAAGATACCAGTTTAATGATGACGTAAGAGAGGCAGAGACAAAGCCGTAGGTTCCATTCTGTAAATCAAAATCTTTAATTGTGCACTGCTCGACCTGCTTTATTAAAATAAGGGCAAAAGTGCGACTCAGTCTTCCCAGGCTGAAATTGTAAGTAAGGTTACCAGTCTATAGCGGTTGACAAGGTCCCAAAGGAGCTCTGTGCCCCTCTTGCTGCAGTGCCATCTGCTGACTGCAGCCGGCTTGGTTACAGAAAAAAAGCTACCAAAATGCCTCCTTCTAAGAGCTGGAGTAGAGAGGCAAGCCACAAAAAGTCTGATGGAAGACAAACTCCTTGCAAAAAATACGCATCAATGCAAAAGAAAAAAAAAAAGATATAGGGGACAAAATCTAAGACAAGGCTAGATATGTTAATGCACGTACATACACACACAAATCCCCCTGCCCAAATGAACTGCTTAGGATCACTCAAAAATAATTGAGTTTTCCCTAATTGTCTTGGCCTTTGAACCTTTCATCAATAGTTATTTAAAACAACATCAGCACTAATATTACTAGCAACTGACTGTTAACTCCCTGCACCATGGCTGGATAGAACCCAAACCAAGTCCTAAATAAATTCATGTTCACCAATTTGGATTTAATCATATAGCTCATCTTCAGCTAAAAAAAATTCTGTGTTTTGGATCCTGTTGAACTGTTCTAGCCTCCCTGACCTGCACCTAATTGTTCTCTTTATTCAAGTTCTTCTACCTAAACATAGATGTTCCTAGGAAACCTGCACCCTCTTTTTCTCATTATTAACTCTCACTTGGTGAACTATTCTGTTCATGGTTTCAACTGCTACCTCTTTGAAATTTCTTTTTTGAAATATATTTTTAAATATTTTGTTTTGAGACTCAGGCTCAAACTCACAAACCATGAGATCGTGACCTGAGCTGAAGTCGGACACTAAACCAACTGAGCCACCCAGTACCTCATCTTTGTAGAGTTCTCAAATTGATGTCCTATCCAAGCTCCAGCCCTACATTTCTAATAGATATTCTCCTGATATCTGAAATGTTTAAAGCCAAACGCAATTCCTTCTCACCAATTTCCCAGGTTGTAGTGTTAATATTCTTTTCCCCCTAATCACTAAAGTTTAAATTTGTAAATTATCTTTGAGTTAACTAACTTTTTTCAAAATGTCAGATTGTTCCCTTTTCAATCCTGCAGCCGTCATGTTAGTGGTTTTACCTTTTCAGTCTTCTTGAAGCATCAATTTTATCCTCCAGTAGTGAAAACTTACATTAGTATATAACATTTTGACATTTCAAAAGCCAAACACACCTTTTTATATGATCTTATTTAATCCTCACAAGTGCCTTATTACCCTATTTTAGAGATAAAGTGAGCTTTATCATAAGATACCCAGTATCATGCTCAAACAGTAATTCTGGTTTTCTGAACTAAGGACTAGAAAATTGTGCTCCAAATCACAACTGCTATTTCTTGTAACAGGAACCACTGCCTGGTAAATATTGTTGAGTTTCTTACCTGCTATTCATGGCCTTATTGCAGCATTTTCCACCATTCTGCTGTGTAGACTTTCAGCTTCAGTTGTGAAAAGACTTTTCTGTGTTCTTCAGATGTACTCTTTGCTTTCACAGTTTTGGCTGATGCCATTTACTCTTTAAAAAAATTTTTTTTAATGTTTATTTATTTTTGAGAGAGAAAGAGACAGAGTGCCAGTGGAGGAGGGGGTAGGGAGAGAGGGAGACATAGAATCTGAAGCTGACACCAGGCTCTGAGCTGTCAGCACAGAGCCTGACTTGGAGCTTGAACTCAAGAACCCTGAGATCATGACCCGAGCCAAAATCGGACGCTCAGCCAACTGAGCCACCCAGATGCCCCTCAGGCCATTTACTCTTTTGGTGATACGTCTATCTCCTTATTTTGTACTAGAGGCTGGAAAGGCATGTAGCATGTCAATAAAAAATAAATTGCACCCCAATTTTTTGTCATTCTCTGAAAGATATCTTTTTCCCCCATCACGCTCAGAATTTAGGAATAAAGTTTGAGGACAAAGAAATTACAGTTAAGGGCAGAGAAGAGTGATTGTTTAGTTGGCTAATTACTATTTCAAAGGACAATGTCTTACCCTGATTAAGTAGTTATTTTTTTACACTGCTCAGAACTTACACATTTCTGTTTCTTCTTTTTCCATGTGTCTCTCTTCTTCTTCCTACTCTTTCTTCCCACTTTTTACATTTATGACCTTTCTTCTCTCTCTACTACATTTCTTCTTTTCCAGGTTTTATAAAGCATTTTAGCTTTTCTATTGAATAAAATTAATCTCACCAGATCTTTGTTTGAAAACTTGCTATATTGAGAATTTTATATTTGGGGCACCTGAATGGCTCAGTCAGTTGGGCGACTGACTGTGGCTCAGGTCACGATCTCACAATTCGTGAGTTCCAGCCCCGCATTGGGCTCTGTGCTGACAGCTCAGAGCCTGGAGCCTGTTTCGGTTTCTGTGTCTCCCTCTCTCTCTGCTCCTCCCCCATTTGCGCTCTGTCTCTCTCAAAAATAAACATTAAAAAAAATTTTTTTAAGAATTTTATATTTAAGACTATTATATTCTGTTTTCTCTCTTTAAAATTGGGTTGTATTGGTTGCTCCTTTCTAGGGTTGTTGAAGTTTAAATGAATTACTATTTACAATAATAGCTGGCATGAAGTAAGTGCTCCATAAATGCTAGTTACTACTGTTGTTGTTGTTGTTGATTTGTTTAAAAAATATTAACCAGTGTCTACTATTTACTGAACACTTTGCTAGGTTTTGCAGGAATAGAGGCAAAAAGAAGTCTCTGTATTGGGGACAATAGATGAATAAACACATTTAATAAAGCACAGGGATTATGTATATAAAGACATTATCTTTGATCTTCATACTTCTGCAGGTTATTTTTATTATTTTTTGTTTGTTTGTTTAGAGAGAGAGAATGTGAGGTGGGGAGAGAGGCAGAGAGACAGAATCTTAAGCAGGCTCCACACTCAGCATGGAGCCCTATGTGGGGCTTGATCCCACGACCCTGGGATCATAACTGAAATCAACAGTTGGACACTCAAACGACTGAACCACCTGGGAGCTCCTGCAGAATATTTTTAAAATGAGAAATCTGAGACTCAAGGGACACAGGTGACATCCCACGTCCAGTTAGGATCCAAACCCAAGTCTGTCCGACTTCAAAGCCCCCTTCCCCTTGTTTTCACACTGCCTCAAATGAGGATACTTTCCACTGATACTAATCTATGATGGTTTTGTTCCAAGCATTAGTGTGTCTGTCACACTGGGAAAACATCATAGCCTCACATCAGGTCAAAGCCCGGGCCACTGGCTCTTGCAGCCAAACTGCAAGGAATAAATAGAGCCCCACTGACTAGGGGCTCAGTTCAGACAGTCCCTCCTCAGTTCGTTTCAGCCTCCATGAGGAGACAGGCCGTTGTTGCCAAACACCTGCCAGTCAAGAACAGTGGCCTGTTTGTTAGGGTTGTTGTGGTCACTGTGGTGAACACTCATCAGTATTGGGACCATGACTGTGGCATTCTGGTTTAACCAAAGAGTAAGTTCAGTCCCAAAGGCACAGCTTGCCACAATAGCTTCATTTGAATTACAACATATTTGAAAAGGGATGTCAAACAGGCATTAATTTATGCTACAAATATTTGTTCCGGGATTTCTAAGCCTAAGGAATGTGCTAGCCTTTGGGAGCTCAAAGATGAATGAGAAACACTCCGTTTTTAATAAGATTTACTAGACAAGATAAGTTGTGTGTATAAATAACCAGAAAAAAAAAAAAGAAGAAAACGAAAATTAAGTGCTGTGGGAGTGTAAAAGAGAAAGTGGTTTTGGCTGGAGATCCCAGAGAAGGCTTAGTGGAGAAGCACGTTTTAGTTGGGCTGGGAAGGCATGTAGCATTTCAATAAAAGAGAGGTATTCTAGTGGATAAGGTGTTCAGTGATCAAAGGCCTGGAGATAGGAACCCACAGGACAAGTTTGAGGCACAGCACACTCTTCCCTTTCTCCTTCACTGGCTAACTCCATCCCTCAGTCAGGTGTCAGCTCAAACCTCACTTGCTCAAGGAAGGCATCTCTG